AAACTGAGGCCCGTCCGTCTCTTTTGAAACCGGCAGCTCGATCCAACCCTGGAAAGACATGGATCAGGAACAGCAAAATATGCTCCAAAAGTGGACTGGGACATGTGGTGCTTGTGCACCACATGTACTTCTACTGAGATTGGTTGCTGTGCAAACATGGCCACTTTGGCCATGAATCACAGTGACCCTCTCTTTGAGATGGTCAACATAGTTGCCCTTGTTGATACTCGCCACACAGCAGCCGCCATCACAGCTGAATATGTACACCTTTGTTTGTACAGTGTGCCCACCATCGACACTATCAGAAGCCATTCGGTTCAACAATCGCCAACCCTGTAAGGAATCCCCCTGCAGCTCTGTACTACCCAATGGCAGCAGTTGCATCAATTGCCCAAGAATCGCGTTGGCACATTGTTGAGCAATACTTTTGTCACAATCAGACAAATTCAATCAAAGCAGATTTCAATTTACAGTCTCTGCCCCACAAATACAACCAACACTCCCAGCTCCCTTGACCGCCATCGCCTTGCAGCACAGGGTCCCATGTCTGAGAAACATGGCAAACACACCATTCAGTTACCGCTGATATCTTTGTGTGAAAAATGTCGTCACAACAGATTCCAGCTCATCGCGGGCCAGCTGCTGCTACAAGAAATACCGCACTGTGCTCCTTGGCGGCAACATGTTTTCATTCTCCACAGTCGCGTTGAACACCTTTTCAGACCGCCTCCTTTCGGTGTCGAAACTCAATATGGATGCGACGTTGCCACAGCGGTAGCAGTAATTCGGTGCAGACCACACAGTGACCAAGTGGTACTGCGGCCGATCGTTGTCAGCCTCCCCTTCCGATGGGCTCTCGCCCAGCGTCTCCATGGGGCGGATGGGGAACATATATTTGAGGCCCTCCTGGACGAGTTGATGGGCACGGCAGATGAGCTCCAGACCTGAATTTCCACAACCATTGACTCTCAAACAACAGCTGGCTCACTGAATGTGATCTTGCACAATGCGGCAAACCGCAGTGGCTGTGTCATAGCAGTTGGTACATGGCACACCAACACTACCAAGCTCCAATGGTCTACAACTGCATCGCTGATGTGTACCCTGATTCACAACCCTCACATCCGCAACAGACAGTCAGGATTCACAACAACAATGGTTCATACCAAAACCAATTTTTGCTGCACTGCACCTGAGTTATGAGGCCCTTGGACCAATAGAAAGTCTGATAATATTTGCAGGGCAAAGATTGATAGTTTCGCAGGGAAAAGGTTGGCCAGCAGATGACATCTGCTGACCAGACTTCCTATAACATTGTGGCTCTTGTGTGGATGCGAAGGTGAACCAAGACTTCATTATGCACACTGGGATTGACATGGCCTGACAGGTGAAGGGCAGTACTCTGCTACTAATGACAGGTGTAGTACTTGGCATTCAAGCTGGCCATTGTGATGACATGCGCCCACAGAAAGCCAGACATGCCCTTAATCTGGGCACCGCTGATCAGGTTTTGACAGTCAGATGACAGGGCAAAATGATGGCATGCATCTAGTCAGGCCACAGTTGCCGCAGTTGGCATTCACTTCCTGGATTATTAGAAGATTTTCCAGGGCACCAGAGGTCAATTAAGGAGTTCTTGGCTGCAATACGAAAAGTATGCAACACCGAAGTGAAGGATGTTCCTGCTACTAAAGGATGTGCAAGGCAATTTTGGCTCAAGATTCGGCTCTCTAATGAGCTGTCCAGCTTTGGTTGCAGTGTTGTTCACATCCACCTTCAGAACCCATTACAGCACAATAGCATATACACTCCAGTGTGGTACAATGCAGTTCAACACAGCACACCAAGCAGCCAACAACATAAAGATATCCACAATCGTCTGCCCAAGCGAATGCTGTCATTCCATGTGCAATGGGTACATTTCTATTCATTTTCATTTTTCTATTTTTTTATTTTTTTGTAGCTTCACCAGGGGATTTGAAGTTACCAAGTGTTCAAGATCACATTCATTGATGTGCCATTTTCACTTGTACTACCCATCTTGTGAGCTGATATTGTTGGTAGCAACGTGGCTTTTGTCACAGAAGTAAGGCTTTTGAACAACCTGTACAACAGGGGTGTTCTGTAGCAAGGCATCAAGTAGTCTTGGCAGTACAGCAGGATGTCAGTCTGTCCCCATAGAAAATTGTGCATGACGATGCCGTCCATGGGCAAGATGGCATTGTGGATTCGAATGTTGCAGGGCAATGTTGTGAACACATAAGCAACTCATTTCAGTGCAAAGCGCCAGCACCAAGGTTGACAGTGTTGACCAGGTAAGTAATGCAGATGGGACGACCCACCATTGATGTGGTTGAACTCTGATGCTACTCTGTTTCCAAACAGCCACCCTGCACCACGAGGGCTCACTGCCCAGGTGTCGATGTCCTCTGGGTCGCTCCAAACCAAATCGCAAAAGGGGCCCTCATGCGGGATCTCACAAATTCGGTCGATTGTGCGAACCTGCAGGACAAGCCAGTCCTGTTGAAAAACCAATGGCCAGAATGTGACACAGCACTGCGGTTGGGTGAACTGCGGATTGGAGCCTTCGGCTCTCTCGCCCAAGACAGGGGATCCGATCCCTGACTTGAAGCATCATCCCCACCCCCCACCCCTTTCAGTGGTGCCCCATCAATCCGCTGAAAAGATGGCCATGGGGTTTCGGATTTCCACCAGTTGGAATCTTACAGGGGTTTTGGCCTGGTTAGCTACACTGCCACAGGTAGCACAGCTGCTTTCCCTGGCACCGGACAAATGTACATACACGTGACACAGCACTGCTGTTGCAACTGCCAGATGATGGCACGCATAGCTCCATCCACATCGTTATATGGCTCATATCCACTTCCTCACAGCAATGTGACGTGCAGGAAGGCTTAAGTTTGAAGATTGTCTTCAATAAGATGTCTACTGGCAGAAAATTTTGAGGCTGGACCAGAAGTCCAGTAAATTAATGGGAATACAGGACAGCTTGGGTAAGAACACCACTTTCCACATTCAGAGATTCATTCATTTGTCTAATGGATTTCAACACAGCTTCCGCATTTCAGGCCAATACCTATACAATTAATAAAATGTTGGCAAGCAGTACAACATATTTATGCCACCCAACCAACAGATACGAGTGAATGCCAGATGCACATTCCTACCCTTCAATGCCTCACCTGATCGATTGTCCTCAAGTCCGGGGACAGGCCTCCATGCACACAGAATATCTCTCCATCAACGATAGCCTGGAAGGGAACATACACGGCAGTGACATTATTCGCCTGCCCTGCCGCATCTCGTTACCAGGGTTTTGCTTTCTCATGTCTGACATGCTAGTTACATAACAAATAAAAATACTTCATGGCCAGTATCAGCAAATTGTGAACAGTGCACCGTTGTTTGCCAAAACGTGACCACCACAAGCCACAACACAGTCACCATCAGCACAGCAGCCATGTGGTTGCTGTAGCCTCGTTGTGCTGGGGTTCTGAGCACTTCTCCAGCTTCTTCAGCTTTTCCTTTTGCGGCATTGGAGCTTCTTTTTCTCTTCTTTCATACACCAGCAGCAGCTAGTGCGCTTCCACAGGGAAGGGCGACTAGACCAGCTTCAGGGGCAGAGAGTGGACCGCATGAGCTGCATGATGCTCTGTGGCGGCCAGTGGCACATTCAAAGATGGAGACAAAGCTGAACAGGGCCACTGTATTGAATGGCAGATCAGAACTGCGCACCGCAAGGGTGAGATAATCGAAGACATCAGTGCAGAACTTCCACGCGTTTGCATTGCCATATTTACGTTGGCACTCATCATAGAAACCATACACCTGCAAACAGGAGAGTGTAGGTCAAGGCAACTGCACATATCATTGCTAATAGAATAGAGAATAGAATTCTGTGCATCCAAAAGGCTAACAGCATTGCATACTAGACTTTATTTTCTATTCCTGGACCAATGGAAACAGGGGCACACTTTTCTGAGTGGTAAATGCAGAAGAGGCATGGAAAGCAGAAACCCTCGTCTTTGCTACAAGACCTGATGGCTCTCGTTGCTGCAGACACGCCCATAATCGCACAAAAGGCTGTCTGCTGTCTGACCATCGCATGTGAGCACAACCATCTGGTACACAGTTTTGGTGCACACGAGTGATACAAGGGCTCTGTACTTGTTGGCATTTGTGCTGCAGTAACATCGTTTGGCGGCCTGTTCTCGTTGCTGGGTGGCAAGTACTTTAAAGGATAAAGTGTTGAAATTTTGTCATCACGATCACAGATGGCGGCAGCTGGGCAAGATGCAATCATCACCATAAACCTTTCTGTCGATGTAAATGTGGTATGACCTTGATGGCTGATGTTGTCAAACGCAGGTGGTAGAACGACACTGTTCATGTAGCTGTATGTGCAGAATGTCCAATCAGGCAAAATCATTGCCAGTGCAATTGCCAACACACTTGAAGCATGGCACAATGACACAGCCAAAGTTAAAACACTGCGCATAGGGGCAATGGTGCTATGGAAGCAAATGCACGTGCCTGTGTGGTGGAAATACATGCTACTCTCACCTGTGTGATCTGCCTACTCTCGTGATTTCCTCTAAGAAGCGTCATGTGTGCCGGCCACCTTGCCTTCAGCAACAACAGCAGCGTGAACACCTCCAGGCTGTTGTAACCTCGGTCGACAAAGTCCCCCATGAAGATGTAGCTTGTGGATGGCACCTCGCCACCAGTCTCAAACAGCTTCAGCAGGTCGTGGAACTGGCCATGTATGTCCCCGCAGACCTGAACAGACTGGAATGTTACAATTCTACCGCATGGAACGGCCAGTGAGTGCAAAGTGCAGATCACTTCTTTTCTTTGTACAGTATTGCCCAAACGTCATGGGGCTTTAATCATCAAAATTTTCTGTCAGCAGCAATCAACGGAGCCCAAAATACTTTTCTATGCAACAATAACAGTGAGGATGTTGAGCACTCTGGGCAGGAAAGTAACTCCTATTTGCCTTGCTACAAGAAATGCAAAGCATCCATGCAACATAGAGACTATGTCCAAGGATCAGATGTTCTGCAAGCATGGCATGCCAGTGAACCACACACACTGCCATGACTAGCTTCCAAAAGAGGCTAATGCGATCGCTTGTTTGAGTCACAGATAGACCCCATCCATAAACGCTTCCAATATACTGTGAATTCAGGAGAAATGGCGTGGCCCTGATGTTGCTACAGTTTCATACATTACAAGTTACATGACACTCATTCTATGATCCCTCCCGAATGCAGCACCTCCTGCTGTTGGGTCCTTGCTTTCACCATTCACTGTCCCTGCAAGCCCCTCAATGTGAACACGTTTCTTCCTGTCTTTGCTGACTTTTGCTGCCACTTTTTTGTCTCACACACTCAAAGTGTCCCTCTAATACTCTCGAATACTCTCTAACAGCCAGGAGAAGAGTCCTAAAAGAATGTTCACATGGGGGGGACAACAGGATAAGTGCTCAATAGCCACATAACTACATTTGACCACTGCCCACTGAAGAATCAGATGCTTACAATGCAACAGAGAATCGGCTACTCAGTTGAAGACTCAACACAGTGCCACAACAATTTCAGCCAATGCGTGGAGATGCACTTCCATGAAACAACTACCAGTTGCACATTGTCCATGGCTAAAATGTTTTACTCTGCCTAGTTCGCCGTTCCTTCCCAGCAGACCGCCTGTAGAGATTGCCGGTGTCTCCTGATGTTTCTGCTGTGGGGGCATCGCTCTTGGAACAGATAGAGGAAATGAATGTTGAACAGTTGGTACTCCCCTCAAGAGCAAGGAGTTTTGTGGGACACTTTTCCTTGCCGTAAAAGATGCTGCACAAGTCACTGGGTGGTGGACTGATGCCCGCATAGCCCATCAGATCAGCAATATCTGCCTGTGCCACATGTCTACAGTGGCCCCATTCAGCGGATCATCCTTGATGACACTTGAGACTTTCCGGCACAAAATGGAGCCACAATGATCTGAAGTGAACACCCCATATCACCTTACTAACAACGGCGATGACAGTGCCCGCGCCGCACCGGGTCGCGCATAGCGCAAGGGGCCTTCATGGCTGTTCACAGCAAGATGCCACATAGGTCCTTTTTCGCACACCACAGCCCTGCTCGCCGCCGGATTCAGAACCTGAGGACTGTCAAGCTCACCGTGACAGGGAGGTTCACAGGCTGCACATTCGACTCCTCCACCAACAGCTCCTTGACCTTCGAGGCAAGGCAGCAGACACGCCCATCCAAATCAGCGCACGAACAACAGACAGGCCCTCGCGTTGCAACATGCGTGCTGGACGCCCACGTGGGAATGCATTTCAACCCCCTGCGCTACAGATTCATTTGTTTTGGCGCGGAAAACAACCCCAGAGGCCAGCGTGAACTCAAGAAATTGAAATTGAAAACGAAATTGCAACCCAAATGTGCCAAAGGGAGAAGGTGGAAACTCCACATGGTATGGTGCCGTGGCGCAGTCCACCGATGAGTGCGACTCACGTATTCGCACAGCGTCCGCAGCTCCGGCTCCTCCAATATCTCGCAGTTCTTGACCTTTTCGATCCACCTGTCGAGCTCGATCCCCATCGTCAGCCTCTGTGCCGGACAAAAGGACCGGATGCGGATGCGCGGCGGCGAAAATAGGATTCGGGAGCAGGGGTGAGCGGAAAGGGGAGTTTTGCGTTTGGCAGGCCCGTGGGAACGCGGCTTGGCCTTCGAATAGGGGGGCGGGAGCGGGGCCTGCTGCTTGCAGAGGAGTGCAGCCCAGGGGGTGGTTTTGTTGTATTGTTGTGTACATAACACTCAATACAGATATGTTGGTCGGAATGGATTGGGAATGATGCATTTTGGAACAGTAAATAATGTGGCAAAGAAATGAAAACGACTGTTTCGAGACTGGTGTGCCGATGAGAGTTCGACAACTTTTGTGTCTGGCGGCCAAGAGGTTCAGCCACAGATTTGTCGTCAAAGCGAAGGTCAGACGGGGCACGTGTCACATTGTGCGGGATAGCATACACCGGATGCGTGACATCTGATAGTGCCTGATACTGATGCAACACCCCAATCACTCATCTCTCAGAGTGCAGAAAGATTAACATGTGGCTCAATTTTCGGGGAGCTTTGCATTGTGAAATCGACGCTTCTCCGACAGTCTTTCAATGCACGCCAAAACCGGTTCATCAAAACTTTTGGAGCATGGATGCTCTTCGTGTTTCTCGTCTGCAGACTCAGTAACATTGGCAAGCATCAGTGGTCTCAAGTTAGCATTGTGCCGAGATACCAAGGCGTCGAATCATCGTCGCTTGGACATGATCGGCCGCAAGCCGGCAGACTACATTGCCAACCCCGGTCGCGCCAGGGCATGGCCACAACAGCGCAAACGATGCAACAAAGTACAAGAGGGTGCCGGTCACAAACCGTCAGTCATGCCCCCTCCCATTTCCACCAATCCCCGGCCCCCACATTCGCGACGACGCTGTTGAGATCACAATGGAATACTGTACACGAAAGTGCAAGTAGGTGCAAAGCAAAGACTGAAATGAAAGTTGGCCTGTAGAAAGTAGGCCTGTAAATGTAAATCGGGCGACGTCCCCGCCCCCTGGCGCCCCCTCCGCGCGCAGGTGCGCCGCAAAGCCGCGGCCACTAAGGTCAAGAAACGTCATCTGAAGCAGCCCGCCCCCACACTCAAATAAAGGACCACGAGAAGAAAAAGAAATGGAAGGAAAACTGAAGAGGAGGCGAAGACAGAAAAAAAAACAACATATTCTGCTGTCCTCCACGACAGAAAGGAGAGGCCTGCCACACAAAATACCCACCAAATCACACGATGCCGGTGCTCTCAATAAAATACTTTCGAGCAGAATGCGAAAGCACTGTCACAATGCACAGTGCCTCGAAGGCGTTCCTATTTTCAGCCCGAACGGACATAAAAATACCTCATTTTCCAGCTCTTGCCACTCTAAGCGCACTGCAAGCCCGTTTCAAAGCTCTGAAATCCAACTTCTACCCCATTTTGCAGTCAAGACTCCCTTTGCGAGCATTCTCGCAGACTTGTCAAGCGCAGAGCGCCATCCCCCGCAGGAGGCACAGCAAATCTGTCGTCCACCGCGCCACTGTTCCCTCTCTTTTCTGCCCCCTTTCCTGAAGCCCACTGAGGGCTTCAGAACCACCCAAGTGCATCCAAAGCTGACGGCGAGGGCAGCGTGGGGCCTTGCACGGCCCTGTGAATTCTCAGCAGATAGTCCCTTGCGGTGGGGCACCTCAAATGCGGCCAGTCTGAAGATTGAGCCCCCTTTAATGGGCTCTCGAGGCACACAATGTCACCGTGCACCAGCCGTACCTGCAGGCGACAAATACGCTCTTCAGACAAGGCTAGCATTTGAACAATGATTGCTTCCTGTTCAGCCATTAGTCCAGCGCATGGTTGGCCTAACCTGGTCAAGAGAGGCGCCCCGGTAATTGCAGGACGCTCGGCGTCAACTTGACGCTGAAGGGCGGAGGGGTGGTTGCTAAATTTACGTCATGTCAGATAAATCGACATAAGCCCAGAAGTACTCCAAACACCCTTTGCCCACGCCCACAAATGTCCATTCCCGCCTTTTGAGTCTGAAACGTTCATTATCGCCTTTCGAGTCTTACTCGTAACTTAGGATTCAGTAAAGACATATTATGCACTTCGCTGATAACGAATTCCAGAATTCTAACTAAAGAAGTAAAACTGCTATTGAAATTACGATTACAACTAGGGTGCTTATGAGATATCTAAAATTAATACTCAAACTTAGGATTCGGATAGCGCTCGTTGCTTTAACATCTGCCTCACCTCCCTGCACGAGAACCTTCGGTTCAACTTCACGCCCATCAGCACCGGCTCGTGCGCAGCTTCCTTCCAGCCCGTCACCTCACCCTGCAGCCCCGCCGCCCGCCCCACCTCGTCGAAAACGTCGCCCAGGACCTCTTCATTGGCCACGAAACGGCGCTGAACGTACGTCAGCGATTCGTTAACGGGGTCATAGGCCTTAAAGAACACCATGCTACCGCCGTGCTTGTACACCATGTTGGCGGCAATCAAGCGCACCATGCTGCCACCACGGGCCCCAGGGAGCAAGTGCCTCAACCCGCGCCTCTTTTTGCTGTCCGTTTTTGCCGCTTTTTCCGCCGGCGGTTCCCACGTCTCTAAGTACAAGAGAACCGTGGAGGGGGGCTTTGCGCCCCATGAATCCGGCCTGGGCTGCACCGAGTCCAACACCTCCGCAAAAGTGGGGCCGTCTGTACCGGGATCTGTACTGGAATATGTGTTGGCACTTGTACCAGAATCGGTGCCGGAGCGCAGAGGGCAGATTGGGCGAGGTGCCGAGCCGTCCCGTGGTGCGCACAGCCAGAGCCGTTGTTGATCCGAAGGCACGCCGAAGTCCGTCTGAATCTGCAAAATGCGAAATGCAAAGGACGCCGTCAATTGAGTGCAACGTGCCCTTTCTGCACGGGTGAGAAGGGCGTCACGCAAGGAACGACGCTCAGCTGCGAGCACAGATACGCAAGCATGAAAGGCCAATATCGCCTTAGGTCGAGGGCAGCGATCTGCCATGTCTTTTTTGACGAATCTCATCAATATTTCAAGTTGAATTCTTGAATCTCAGTTGGACTGAGAACGTAATTTTCTTCTTCATTTTGTTAATTCCCATTCTAAATCGCACTATTTAGAATTGCAATTAAACAAAATTAACTAGTTTGCCTTGCTCGTATATTTTGCGTTCACAGATGAAACAGAGCCGAATACGCATGATTTGGTCCCCTTCAACGCAACATCCTTTGAAGCAAAGTGGACAAGAAGAGTAATACCCAGTATAAATTTCTTCTACCCACATTTCCCGAAAATAATTGTTGCACTGTTTACGCTGCTACAGTGCTGTTCTCAGCAATTCAACATTGTCTCAATGCTGACAGAAGGTGCACGGAATTAGCAGTTTCTAAGCGAAGACGATCCACTTCGTCGATTGTATTTCCTTGAGCTTTCCTCGTCCAGCCAGAATTTCTCTCAAGAGAATCGTGAAAACGTGGCGATACCCTGCCCTTGCATCTCCAAAGCAGCAGCGGTCACAATCGCGAAGAGACGCCAACGCGTGGCTCATATTAACGCACACTCAATAAGAAAATCCATGTTATGATTATGCCGCGCCACCTATGTTTTGTAGTCACAATTGTTTCTGCGGTATTTCCGGTCGTTTTCGTCCTGTATGAAATTGAAACATCAATTCAATGATGAGGAGCATCAACAGGCGCCTCACCTGGCGCTGGAAATCGGCGAAGTGCGCCTGCTTGTGCATCTTGTAGCCCTTCACATGGTCGAAGTTCAGCAAATCCGCGTGCTGAATCTTGCCCACCTGTTTCCTGATGTCAGCGTCGGTTGCCACCTTGATCACCACCTGCAGACCAGCCAAGTCCCTGTCCATCTGCTTGTCGCCCTCCTCACCCTGGCGGCGTCGCGCATCAGCCATTAGTCTCCCGACAATCGCCAGCAGATATTACGACAAGGACAACTGGCCGACACTCGTCACTAGCGAAAACAGCTCCAATTCAAGCATTCTGACATCGCGTGTAATCTGTGTTAGGATAATGTTGAGCGCATTGCCAGTTGCGCAGAATCGCTGCTGTGTTGTCTGCGCGCACTTTTGTCGGCGCATGAACAAAGTACCGTCGGCAATTGGCCGTCGACAACGACCAATCGAAACGTCCAGCCACGTGCCATCTGCCCAATCCGCCACTGATGTAAGCCCTCAGAATACAAGCGAAAACCAGCTGCGCAGCTTTAAGCCAAAGATGCAGCAACTTATGGCTGCCTGAGGCTAAACCCAAACCGAGGCCTTCATGACTTGCTGGCAAGTAAACAGTCAGTCTCAATCTCTATGCATTCTTCACCTAATTTCTCATTTGGATCCGTGCTCACGCATACACACATTCTTAGATATCCTTTTCTGCTGATCTCTTACATTAAACTAAGAGGAATTTGCACAACATCAGTCGGCAAACATTTCTAAATCGTGCCATTGCAGCCACTGATGCATTGCATCCTACGGCGTTATTGCAACCTACTGCAACGCACAACGTCACCAAAACTTATGACGTTACACCACAAGAAATGGAGCGCCCTCAATGCACGGTTTTCAACCAAGTGCACAAGACCTCGGCACAAGCCAAAAGTTTGCCAAACGACCACCTCATGGACTGAGCGGCAGCTGCGGCCCCCGCACCCACCTCTAGGTGCCGCCGAACCTCATCGGGAAGGTCATCCTTGCCGGCCACGCACATCACGCTGTCCCAGTCAGATTCTCGAACGTAAACAAGAGCGCATGCGGTGGACCTGCCCCCCTTCGAGCTGGGCAGACCGTAGTTGTTCACGCCCTGGGAGGTATCCCGCCCACCTGTTGGCAGCGCACTCCCCTCAACAAATGTCCTTCTGAGAAGGTTGTATGGTTTCAGTAGGTTACAGTACTTGCCAGCACCACCTTTTCTTGAAAGAGTGGTAACAGCGCACAATTGCGATACGCATGAATGCACATGCGCATCTATTGTTCATTTCAATATGCAGTGGATATTGGCTTCGGGTTTACTTCTTGCGACGTTACTAAGAGTGAGAAATGCGCCGAAATTCCGGGCCCAGCGCGAATAGGAAACGCGGACCTCTACTCGAAGGAGCAAGTGCAGCGAACGGGCCAATTCTTGAGAACTCATGTAACGGGCTGCATTGCTACATTGCCCCGCCGCCACACTGGCGCGCTGTAAGTAATGCAGTGCGGTTGTTCTGAATTGCCGCACAATGCAGCAACTGAGAATAACCGCGCTGCATTACTCACAGTGCTTCGTTGAGAGCCGTGCAGCTAGAAATACTTCTATGTGATTGGGATCAAGCATCACCGTTAAGTTGACGTTGGTATTCGATTCAACCCACACGGTCTTTTGTTGAAGGGCAAGGGCGATTACAGGCGCCCCAAACATGGACGCGAGGATGCCGTTTGTTACCATTTCGACACACTCATCATCCATCATCTGTTGCTGCAAGATTTGAATAAGTGCACTCAATCATGCAATAACGATGCACGAATCCGTAGCAACTGAACATGGTGTTGATGTGGCAATGAATTGCTCGACATCGGCTCTTTCTGCCAATCCACGTCAATGACCGCTGATCCAATCCACCTGCGGATGACAACAAGACCTGCACTATTGGGGGCGCGCCACAGGGTAGCCTTTAAGGTAGAACAAGTCTTGATTATGCGCTGCTCTATTCCTGAGCCTCCAAATCGGTTGTCGATCAGCAGCAGTTGGTGCCAGTGCAATAGCCGCTACTGTTATACTGTGGCAGTCACGCGGACTACAGTGCTATCAGAACAGCACGCCCTTCTGTAATACTTCCAGCAGAGCGAGGCAGCAGTGGTATAGACACAAAAACAAATACGCCAGCAGCACTGTCAAAATGCGCACCGTCCGCCCTGTGTCCAACACGATCCTTACGGCCATAACCACCTCGCTAGGATATAATAATAGGAGTCAATTGAGCCTCCACCGGCACTCCAACGAAGGGCACTGGTGATTTTGAGACCGGCAACCTCCCAGCAGGACGTGGTTGGCGAGAAAATGGCAGTTTTTCGGCCAGGCTTGGCAGCCACATGCGCTTTGACATGCCGCACAGATCTCATCCCGCTACTGTGCATCCTTTGTGTCGTTGCGCATCGCCCAATTGCCAACAGAGACTTGACGCTTTCATGACACAGCATGATGAAGTTGCACACTCATTCTCGCGCAAGGGGTCGGTGTGCCCATTCCGCCTCATTCGCCTCCTTTAACAGATAAGAAAAATTGTCCGACTGAGAATCATCGTCTGATAGCAAATGATTCTCACCGTACTGATCTTTGATGGCGTTGTCGCTCAACACTTCTTCCACGACCTCGTCGTCGAATTTCAGCCACTTGTCTCCAACCGGCCTTATGAACACGGAGCAATGGCCGCCCTGAGGTTCGTCGCTTCTCACCACGACGCTGTGGAGTTTGTATACGCAGCCGCCGGTCACGTTTGATGTGAGGTACTTTCGCTCGCCAACGTCCATGTTCAGCTCCTGGTAGAACTGGTAATGACTGGAGACCTGATGGCAGTCAATCAACGTCTCGTGACACAGATGGTGCGCCACACGTTGCCCATCGCTGTTCTTGGAAATGGGTGAATGACTGTTTCTGCACTCTCGCAAGATGGGCAGGTGGAAGTGTGGTTGCGCACTGGGTGCGGTGCACGCGTCCAGTGAATTCAGATGATCACACCCCCTGGTTAAGCTCAAGGCTCTTTTGCACGCTGCAATACACTCCTCAGCTGATTCAGTGACGTGCACTTCGCTCGATGCACTGAGACGCTGCTGAGGGTTGGGAGACAGGTACTCAGGAGCAGCTGAACATGCCCCAGGAGGTCAAGAATCTATTCGGCATATGTTGGCAAATTCAATCAGTATGGATGCATGCTAAGTGCAGGCAAGCGCACATGTTGCTAAAGTACTGGGTGTGGCTCCGAAGGGCATCCACACAGCTGCACTACATCATCTGGTTTCAACTATTTTCTTTCAGTGGCCCGTGAAGCAGAAACTTGCCCAGCTTGTTCTTAAAGGGAGGCAGGGTTCCTGTGTGAGCCTGGGGAGTCAGGTTTCCTAAATACTTTGTGAGACACATCTTGCAATTTTGCAAGACAGTGTGCACCACTTAGAGCTGTCTAAACATACCAAATTGTCACTGTACTCAAGCCTCTTGCTGTGGAAGGACAGCCACACAGGGGCAGCACCATTTCAGGGGATTCTCGCTTGTACACAACACAGTCATGCTGCTCAACTTCGGAGGTCACTTTGTCCACATTGTTGATGGGGAACATCCAAAAGTAGATTTCGATTGCCACCTTCCACGTTGCAGTGCACACAACCAACCATCCAAGTTTCATTCCGTTTTGGCTCGACAGCCTCCAGATATCAAGGCAGTGGCAGCACTCACTTTAATATCCATGCCCTTCTTGCTGTCATAGGTTGAGCGTTTCAAATTCAGCTGCAGCACCGCTGGTAGGGAATCAAATCTGATGCACTTCCTGGCATCCTGTACCACCAATTGTCCACAAAGACGGTTTGATATGACTGCCGAGTGCATTCAAGGGCAATGCGCGTGGCATTCAATTTTTCAAAAATTCAATTTTCAAAAATTCAGGACAAGGCGAAGTGTTGCAACCAGCACGATAATAGAAGTAGTACATTGTTGCCTTTTCTGCTTGAGTCTCAAACTTTTTGCCCAGTTACCTGACCAAAGGCGATGAAGAGCCCCAGGCACTATCTGCTATGATCAGGGTCCCCATTCTACTCACTGCATAGGCCTCACAAGACTAGATTCCCAGGGCTATGGCAACTGTTCTGTTTGGACATCATTCCTTGTGCAGGCCATACACTACACCTGCACCCGCAGGGCGATCGAGGCCACTGTCCACATCAACATTATTCCCAAATCGTTCTCAGGTGACTCAGCCTGCTCGCATGGAGCGTTGACAAGTGCTGGCTGTGCAACTTTCGAGCCCTGGCAATGCGCAATACAATGCTCAAGGAGGGTAAGACAAGCATGACTTACCACCCACCCATAGCCTTCAGCATGGTACTTGTTTGCCCCTTCTAGCATTTCTACTTCACAAAATTTATCCAGCGAAGCATACACGCCATCGCATCCTTCGACTTCGAGGTCAATTCCCATGAAGGCCTGGCGGCGTTCTGTTTTAGCGCCCCCACTTATGCATTCAACATGGGTTGAATAGTGCCCAAGGAACAACTGTCCTAGACCTCCATTCTCTACAGCCTGCAGCACACATGACCTGATGAGCACGATGTCGCCACAGCAGTCCTGTGGCCATTTGGTACATTGGGTCCTGTACGGGTACCAAACAGTTGAAAGAGATGCAAAGCTCACTTCACAAGGTCGATTCCATCAGAATGCCACGTGGGAACAGACAGCACAACTTGATGACGACAATGGCAACATGAAATGTGTCACTGCAACTCTGCCATATATTCTCCAATGATTCTAAATCTTCGCCGTGGCAACAAACACAGCAGTTTTTTTTCCTTTTTTCCCTCACAGTACAGTTTGCCAACAGGCCTTTCAAGCTCCAGTGCTGTACTCCACTGCCCTCTTGAAAGTAGCTGGCAGTACAGCTGACAGCCGCCTTGAGAAGAATGCATTGTTTACCCAGATTGGGACAGGGCATGGCTATGGCTGTTTCTCAGCCCACGTTCTCTGCTAAAAGTGGATAAGAATTTTTGTTCAATTTTGGAACAGGAATTACTACATAAATTCCATGATCTCCATTTGTATTAGGGAAGCAAGACACATGGCCCTTGCACCAAGAGGCGGCAAACGGCATGTTCACACAGGCGACGATTATGCTGACGTTTTGGCTGGTGCTCTGTTGAGGTTCATTCTCCTCATGACTTCTTATTGCATTTCTGTGCTGTTCAGGATATGTTGGACAGGCGAATTAGCTCATCGCATGCTCCACAAGACAGGACATGTATGCAAGCAACAGGCCTGTGCACAGGTAGTGCACCACACATTGGCTGTGTGCCAATTACTTGCTCAGCAGTGTAACTGCAAGGACTTCGCTGGAGCTGAAATGGCAGACATGTTCAACATCGGTTCTCAATGTTATGGCTGCACATGTGCCAAAAACCTCTGGCCAAGTGACAGCATGGGCACAACACATGTGCCAGCATACAGAAATAAAGGTTGGAACCAATGGCCTGCATCATGTGGCACATACCATCTCTTCTTGTTCCAACAAATTATGCAAGCGGCTAAAGATATCCTGCACCTCCAGCGACATAAGGCCATCGTACACTGCCAGTCCCAGCAGCTTTCTGACAGATGCCGTTGATGCACTGCTACAACTGTATTGGAGCTACAAGACAGACACACAGGTACCTCACTTCAGCAAATCTTAGTTATCAATCATCTTCAGGTGCAAACAAACGAGGAGCAGACACCCACAATGCAGTTGATATAACACATGTTGGCCAATGTGCATCACTTCACGAAATTGACCGGGAAGACAAATGGATGATCTTGTGGCACGAAACGTCAGGAATGCCATTTGCTGGACAATCCCACTATATTTTTTTGCTTCCAGGCAGTGATCGCATGCTGACAGACTTTCGTAATGCTGCCACAGCTGCCTGCCCTGCTGTTTCAGCATTAGCAGCACAGAAATGCACAAATCATCTGTACCATCCTTGAGCATCGTCACCAGAGAATAGACAAGTGAGAAACATTGTTGTGCTGTGCTGTGTGATGACAACTCCAACAACAATGCACCTGCCTGTTCTCAGTGCAAACAAATTAATTCTGCCCACAAGACATTCCCACGTTTTGGCGCTGTATCTGCAATGTAGTTTGCAGCAATGTGCCCATCAGGCACAAGAGAATCTGCATCAGGCACACACCTGGAAAAATAATCGCTGCAACACAAACCCCGCATTCTGGTCAAGGTTCCCAGAATGCAGATTTGTTTGCAAATTGTAGACCAGCTGCAGGCACAGCCAACAAAGTCCTCATCAGACGCACTTTTGCAATACAAACAGAAGAAGTTTCCTAGAATGCAGATTTGCTTGCAAGTTTTAGACAAAGCCAACAATGCCCTCATCAGTACAAAAAGAAGGCCTACAGGCACGGCGCCCAGTAATCTCATGTCTGAAGAGAGGACACCCTAGAACTGCCAGCTGAATGTCAAGTCAAAGTAGTGCCATGGAACAGGAAAATTTGTGGGCAAGCTTCGAGCTCACAATGCAAATGGGGAAATACTTCAAAACGCCTGTTGCCCACTGTGTCCTTCTCCGATTGTAATCTGTGTCCTCATTAGTAAGCATTGACCAAAGCTCATGGTTGCCATTTCTTACCCCAGCAAATCCATTGGTCATGTGACAACATTTCGCAGCTGGTGCAACCAGCATGCCCAATGGTGACTCCCAGTGTCCAATCAGACTGATACTGGCCGCCCTAGCCTCGACCAGCAGATAATATGGTCTCCAGCAGGAATCTGGACTGCACGGGGCTGTTTCTGTGTGATGCAGAGCATATGTAGTTCCAGGTGGTGTGCAGAGTACAATGTGCTGTGAGATCTTTCTTGCAGTGTTGCAATGGGAACCACTTTCTCGGGTGGAGTTTCAGACATGGTGACCTGTCCACCGTTGAATGACATGCCATTCCAACCGAAGCAAGGGAACTATTCGGGACTGTGGGAACGCAAGTGCGCGATTCAAGCCGCAGTCGCGGGTTGCAGGTGGCCCCGGGCAGCCTCCTGCTGCCGATAGTTGAGCCTGTCAGACACTCCTTGTTTGGTAATTTGGTACTTCACACTTGGTTGTCTGTTGACAGCCCGTGTCTTTCATGGTGATATCTTACTGCAAGGCGGCGTGATTGCAGGGCGCGCATAGCAAGGGAGCAAACGGTGTGCTACGGTGCCAGCGCGATGCTGCAGGTGCACACTTTACCAGCCGCGCTCATTGTTCTGCACTGTTTCTTCCCGAATATTTGCCAGCAGGCATGAATCAGAAGACAAAATGATTTATTTACAAAATTGTGTTTATTTGCAAAATTGTAACTTACAAAAATGATAGTGCTGCGAGCATGCGGCACCCAGGGTCACGAGCATTTTTGTCACATCAATTTATGGATCGCTTGGTGCAATATCCTTCCCTGACGCATAGGAAAGGGCGATCTTTTCGGCAGGGAGCTCAAAGCCCAAAGCTTGCGCCAAGCGATCCACCGTCTGCCTACCAGAGAAAAAAATGGGCCCTGGGGCAAAATCCGCCCACCGAAACACAGGGCACTTTAAATCCAAACGTGCTGCCAGTCCTGTACTTCAACCTGGCACTTTAGGATTCCCGACAGTAGCGCTTGCCCAGCCGTGGGCTGCTTGGGGTGGGAAAGCGGGCACGGGGCAGTTAAAGCGGAGTCCGTGGCTCCCAATTCTTGCTTGGTCATAAAAGAAGACGCACTGACAATGCATGAAATTAGTCGTTCTGTCTTTTCCCTTTTTGTTTCG